AGATAAGTAACTATAAAAATAATATTTGAGTGTTCCAGGGGCTGAGTATATTTTGCTTACATGTTGCTTGTCAGATTTAGACATCAGACTATTAAAATGACTTCTGTGTGAAGATGATCAACAGCTCTTTCTTAAATATTTTCCCTTCTATTTTTATCATATGGTATTTGTAGGGATCAATAAATATAATATGTTTTGTCCTGTCTCTTGTTATGCAGCTATCTGCACCAAACATGCTGTGGATTTGCAATAGCCTGAAGTTAAGAGATTTTGTGGTGCTTCCATTTTAGATGGTTTCTTTTCATTGAGTCAGTATCTAATAGCCAATAAAAAAAAAATATAAATCTATTTAACTAAATTAATCAGAATATAGAAGAGTCCAGAACTATTCCCTAGAAGTAACAGAGTGTAGCTTTATTTTTTGTTTAGTGCATGAGTCTGATATAGGGGTTTAACGTTTATATAGAACTAATAGTTTTCAGACTGAACATAATTTTAATTGATAAAATCAGCTATCTTATATGAAAAGTCTAGATTAAGGAAAGAATACTGGCCAGAAGTAAACCCAATATGTATTTAATGCCAAAAGAAAAGAAAATTTCTCAAATTCAATATATTCTTTCTATGTTTAGTATTTCCTATTCTTGAGTTTGCTCATCTGTCTCTTGCATGCACACCATGAAAGGATGTTAGATAGAAGATAAAAAACCCCTTTATATAAAGGATATGTTGTCTTGAACTTTTAGATAAAAGCAAAGGCTGCAAATCCAGGAAGGCTTTTGTTTTCTCTATGCTTCATCATACTTTTCTGCTGATTCACCGACAGTGAACATCTGGAAATAATAAAAGTATGGCATAATGCTTACATTCTACTACTGCAAGTGTTTAATAGAGCTGTAATGATTGCATGTCTCTTTAAGCAAACACAAAAGAAAAACTGAACCAGGGATTGTAGCTACAGGCTTTGGAGTTAGTCCTGTAAGTTACAAATTACAGTTTATACTTTGGAAAACGTGAATCAGTAAGGGAAAAATATCCTTTGTGTGTGCTTTTGTCATGATGAATTAGTTCATGATAAAACCCAGCCTATAGGACAGTTGGTTAACCAGTGCATGTGATCTTTCTAATTTATATTTTTTTTGGCAGTTGGTTATGCTAAATAGAAGCGTAGATGTGAAAGGTGCAATTCTCTTTGGAGCTAATTTAGATGGATTCATTTGTGAGTGAATCTGAGGTTGGTTTGCAGAACTCTGTCAGTGCTTTTACATACATCTCTTTCTCTCCATTCTTCTCCTTCCTCTTATATCAGTCTTAGCTGTGGCAGTAGCTTACTTAATTTAGAGTAAGCAAACTGCTCTTATGGATCTGTAGTATATCCTCAGAGTGAAAAAAACCCATATTTTTTCTCTCCTCAGCAGAATCTGAACACTTTGCCCTTTTCCTATTCCTGTGTTTATTTCCTCTAATTTCTTTTTCCTGTCTCACTAAGGTGTGATTTTTTTTCCTGTAGTTGCTTTAAGATGCTTATCATTGGGTATGTATCTCTGAATAAACAGGTATAGGAGCAATTTTTATTTCCAATCTGGATGATGCCATTGGGAATCTAGATGATCCATCATGTCAAATTAATCAGTTGTATTTGTCATTTTCATCCTGTATTCAATTTCAAATTTCAAGGTATTTTTAGAGATTACTAGGACTGCATAGATATGTCATGTTTGCTCATACCAAGTTATTTTAAACTTTTGGCTGAGTGCCAGCACTCAAGGTTTTAACATTAGCATTAGCTTTGAGTCTAGGAAAAAAATCTTAGCACAGTTCTATTTGTATTAATAGTAATCCAAGCTGATAGTAGATGCAGACAGCCAAAGCCTCTTAGGCTGAACAGTAATTCTGATGTTGCAGCAAAACCTTGGTATACATCAAATGCATAAGAGAGATGATACTCTGATTGGAAGACATTTATGAGATGTGTTAATGAGCAGACCACCTTTTCATTCAGAAGAATAGTGGTTATTCTGGTCCTTTGTCTCCAAAAGAAAAAAAATTCATGTCTGAGAAGGAAGCCTTAAATAACAGGTCAAAACTCAACTGTGGTACTCTCCTTTTCCATCATCTCCTGTCTCCAGAGGGGCTACTGACTTTCCTGGGGTGCTGTGAAGTTTCACTTTCATGTGAAAAGGTAAATTGGTTCACTCTCAAATGAAAGTAGATTTCAAATGAGCCTGTTTGGCAGCAGTGTTGGAGGAGGGAAGGTATGAGGGTGCAGGGAAGGTATTTTGTTTCTTAAGTTCAGTCACTAGTACTTGTTAAGCAGATAAACTTCAAAGCAATATTTCTTTGCTAGTTTGCAGCTTTTAAAATGTGGCTCTAAAATTTTTTTAATGTTGAAAAAGTATCTAAGAAGTAAAGGACTCGCCGCTCAGCCCCAGTTTCTTTACTGTAAAGCAAAAGTAATCTGAAGTGTATGTTGGCATTTTAAGGTAAGGGGAGGGAGGAAGGAAACAGGCAGGCAATGAAAGAAGGCAAGGGAGGGAGGAGGGAAGGGAGCAAAGGGAAGAGAGGAAAGGGAAGGGAGGAAAGGCAGGAAGTTAGTTCCTGGTTTGGTACTTTAACTTAGTTAATTTACAGTTTGGAGGGGAGCAGACCCTGAGAACCTCTCAGGTCTTGAGAGGTTCTCAGGGTCATAACAACATGCCATGACAACACTTAAAATGAAATACAATCTCCAGGTTTCAATCTGTGATTTTCCCCCAAAAAAATCTCAAAACCTGTATTTTAGGGAGTGGTACAAGTCTATTAATGAATAAGCAATGTGCAGAAACACAGCAGAAAGCCATGTTTAAGATATTTGGTGATGTTACTTCTGCACCCAGAGCTGGTTTAAAGGCCCCTCTTTTGAAATGGTAGAATAAATATTCCATAGCTACATGTCCATTTAGAGTCTGGAGTAGCATGTTACTGTTTTACAAAAGACCATTTGCCATTATTGCTTTCAAATATGCTAGTATTATTTTGTACTATTTGATAAATAGCTTTGAGTGGACCAGAGAATAATTCCTAGAACTGAGATATTTTTGCAGTTACAAAAGGAACTATAGCATCTCATGAAAATGGTATTACCACCTTGCTGAAATGCCATGGAAGTTATCTCTTGTTTACTTAGTCCTTTTTATTCAAAAAACCATGTCTGAATTTTTGTGGTAGGCAAAGATGATGTTTTCTCTGACAAAAGCTGAATAAAAAGCCAGTCCAAGGAAGCAAAGTATTCTTTGGCTGTGAAGTTGGGTCCTGCCCTAACAAGGACAATGACTTGTGTAATGCCATGCTTGTGGCAGGAGAGGGAAGACAGGCCTGTAATGTGAGAGGAGCAGCAGTTTATCTGTGGGAATCAAAACAACAAGCAGTGTTTACAGTTTTCTTCTCCAGTCCTTTCTTCCCTCACTGCTGAGTGGATGTTAAAACCCACCTAACCATGAGGCCAGCGTGGTTTATGTAACTTTGACTGGGCATGCCTTCTCTATGCAAACTTCTGGGCAAGAACTTGTGCATCCTGGTGGATTGACATAAGAAAAATGGACTTCTTTGCTGTAGTGCATCTGGAATTCAGCTGGATAGGTTGTGGACAGAATTAAGATTTTTGCTGTTTAGTGTGTGGTAAGGAATCCTGTTCCAAAATGCTTCAGAGCTGGGAAGCAGAATACAAAAAATTGGCAAGGGAGTTGAGGCCACCCATGTCTGGTGGAGCAGGAAATCAGCTTCCTGTATGTTATTTCCCACTCACATTGCACCTTCCCCCTTAAAACTGTCTGAAAGATAGGGGTGGAGTCCCAGCAGTGCCTGCCCTGAATTGCATGCAGGAACAATCAAGGAGCACAGTGTGGTTTTTAGTGCTAGGGAGTGTTTCCAGATGCCAATGAAGTAGCAGCCTAATTAAACCACAGTCCTTCTGTCTGTATGTGGTTGAGGCGATTGAGATTAGCTCTTGGTCTTATTCAAATTCTACTGTAATTTGACAGGTACATTATGTGCATGCCTGAATCAGTGAAAAGTAAAGGGAAATGACAAACTACCAATGAAAAGGAGTTGAAATAATGAAGAATATTTCAATTGATTGTGTTTTGAACTTCACAAGTCATTTCAGGATGTAATGAACTATAAATGTATCTTGAAGCTCCCTACATGATACTCACAAAGGAAGCTTTTTTGTGAAATCTGTAGTGAAAAGTGAAAAGAAAGCACTATTGGTAATTTAAAAAGTTTTATTTGGGGGTGATCGAGGCTAAAACTGATCTGTTACTTTCCATGACATTTTATAATTAAAGTATGAATTTAGGTTGCTCTTATCTGAAGGATTGCTGTCACTCTGTACATTATTAGCTTTTATATTTTAAGAGAACAATTTTTATATTTCTATTTACTTATAGGAACTGTAGAAACTCATGGTATATTTTCAGTTGTGCTGTTTGCATTATAATACTCATGAAGCTAATGGTTTTAAAACTTCTTACTAGCTCCTGCTTTTCAAAATACTACATCTGTTAATGACTGCATTTTACTAGCTTTGTGGTTATCTCAGTGGGATGCTCCAAGTCTGGAATGAGTGCTTGTGGAAAATATGGCAAGAGTGGGCCTTATACACATTGCTTCTAAATGTCCTGTGCATTAATTGTAATGTCTGAATTAATTTTTGCTGTAATAATGCTGAAAGTTTTTGTTGGCATTCTTTGGTATTGTAGTCAAACTACACAGTATAGTTTCATATCATACCTATAAAAATAATTTAACAGACAGACTGAGTTAAAATTTATATGTGTAATCTCACATTTATTTAAAACTAATATGGCATATATGTAATATGCATCCTACTGAACTAATGTCAAAACAGCGTACATTAATAATTAATTCCCTGCTATGGTTACTTGCTTTCATAATGGCATTTTAAAAGTTTGGAATGTAAATAAGTACTTTTTCATTGTGGTTTTTTTTCTCTTTAACAGGACACTACAAGTATAGAAAAAATGTCTAACTGTTGTGAAGACATGTAAGTTCTGTAAAATTCCTACATTGCTGAAATGCTAAGGGAGTAGCTCTTTGTTAAAATGATTTTGCATGGTGCTGTGCTCTGTACTTCCTATCTGTAGCAGCACCTCACTAATCTTTTAATAGTGGTTGTACACAAAATAGCTGCATGTTGTTCCCTTTCTTTCCCTACTCAAAGCCAGTGGAACTATGTTTTCTTTCCAAAAGTACAGATCAAAAGATATTTTCTGCAGTGTTTTGACATACATTTCATTAATATTGAGGTCTCCTGTGCTTCAAAAGGTGCCTTTGTTTGATTGATGACACAGATAATTTCTGTTCTCCAAAGTTAAGTCTCAGCTGCATGTTGTAATGAAATAAAAGTTGTATTTGTGATGCTTGGACACAATTCATCAGAGTCCAGTATTGGATTCCCAGCCAACCTACATTGTTGTAGCTGACTGAAGTGCGCTGTGGGCATGCTGTCTTCCACTAATAATGCTGTCTTCTGTAGATCGAGGCCCCAGAAGCCATGGCAGCAGACCTTCTCAGAAGTTTTTGGCACTCACTGGAAGATCCTGTGGTTTATTCCTTTCAGGCAGCGGCAACCACTGCGAGTTCCCTACCACTTTGCCAATCATGCCTAAACAGATGGATGGTGGGCATATATGGGTCCTCCATGCTGGAAGTGCATTACAGGTTTTATGATAATAGGACTGTGACAGTCTTCAAGTCAATTAAAATCCAGTCATAGGCATCACTGTGTGCCCTGGGCATTATTTTAGTTATGGTCTTGATTTTATTCTGAAATTAAGGCAAGTTAAACAATCCACTTCCGGCTTGTTTTCTTCCAAACTAGCTTTCCAAAGAGATTCCTTTTGTCTTCGAGGTTAATACCAAAAGCAAACAACTGGAATGTAGTCTTCATCCAGTTTGATACTGGCTCTTTTTTTTTTTTTCTTCCTTTTTTTTTTTTTTCCTTTTTCCTTCTGTTTCAATTTTTGTGTAGAAAGCACTGAAGTTTACATTGGTGGTTAGCTTTCTCACTAAGTGTCTTATTCTGCCTTGAATTTTTTTTTTAGGGTTTTTATCAGTAGATCAGTCTGGATAATAATAATGTCTTTTTTTCTGCTGCATATGTTTAAAATTCCATGATTCCATGAGTTATTTATGATATGCAAAAGTAATCCTGCAGCACTGCACTATAAAAGGTAACATTGAAAGCTGAAGCGGAGTACTTCCTAAGCCTTTCTCAGAGAGGTTTTGTTGAAGCACACAAATGTGTGTGTTTACATAGAGAACAGCTTACAGTTATCTTCTGGCCTAGATATGATGTTAGTGAAAAGTGTTCATGTCTTTATGTCAGTCAGAGGGATTAAATATTTCAGGGTAAACTATGCAGATACTATGCATGTTTTCCCTAAATCCCAAGGATTTGAATCAGCAATAATCAACAAAGAAGTTGCATGGTGCAAATATTAGAATGATTACTTCTAAAAAATATAGATGTAGTTAGTTAGCATAATGTGTCATAAAGAAGAGCATATTGTCAATAAAGTTTAAAATTTTATATTTACTTTTCTTTAGTCTTGATTAGCTGGAATTGGTGTAAGTGTTTGTATATTTAAAATAAAATTAATTAATATTTATACATATTTATAGATTTGCTATTAACATGAACATTGAAGTATATAAACACATTTAATAGGGTACTATGGTGATGTTGATAGCTTTTAAGTGTGGAAGTAGTTAACCAAAGAAAGTGTCTTTCAGATCTGGTAAAATAATAATTATTTCCAAAGTACCAGCTCGGTCTTCCTGTCTCTGAAAAAGTTATGTACTTACTTTAGCCCTCTGTATCTATACAAATATTAACTTCAGATGATTGTGAAAACTACTGTGGATTTCTAGGAGAAATTCACAACTCAGTGTTTCCAGCTATGCTGCTTACTGTGTTTTTTGAGTAGTCTAACAGGACTAGGATCCCTCTTAAATAACAGCCATGCAGCAGGACACAATAAAAGACACAAAGTCAGGATTTTATACATGTAGATTGTGCAGAAAGTAATAGCTTATTTGTGAACAGTTACTTCAAAAAAGAAGGGTAAGATTTTTCATGACTGGTGTTCGCAAAAAATTTTTAGATCAACTCTCTTAAAGTCTTAGTACAGTTACTGCCAATGTTAGGTGTCCCTTTATTGAATTAACAGATTTTGATGATCCACTGAAAATTCCAAGAAGTGCATCTTAAAAATCACTTGAACTTTAAACTTTTGTAAATGTCTAACATTTGATCCAACTTTACTTTTCCTGTCCTATTTAAAATAAATGCAATGTTTTCTTAATTTAGATTTCAAGCCTAATGTTCAGCTATTTTCCTTTTGTTTTTTCTCATGCCAGGTGTAGTGAGGTTAGGCTTTCTTTCAAGTGTATTGACATATTGGCAGCAATATTTAAACAAAAAGAAGCTTGAGGAAATGGATGAAAAGACTAAAGCAGCGCTTGAAATTGAAAGGAATGGATATACATAATAAAGTAATGGCTCTATTATTTTCTTTTCCTTCCCCCCACTATTTTAGTCTCTGGAATATGCAGGGAAATAATATTTCATTTTCTGTGCAATATTTAAATGTTTCATGAGCAAAGCATAATTTGAAGTTTTTAATGCTATTCAGTTATCAGAGCAGATTGTACAGTTCTGAACCTTATTCAGAAAGAGAACCAAGAATTTAACTATTTTTGGTATATTTATCATGGGGCATATAATTGTGTGTTCTCCTTCCCAGTATTACTGTTTCAGGCTGGAGTATCAGTTATTCTTTCCAGCAAGTGATGTCTGTGAAAATCTTGCCTGTTTCTCAAACAAAAGTGCTAATTTCACAAATTCATGTTGTCAAATGTTCCCATGTTGTTTGATTTCCTTTGAAATCTACTTTTTCTCAGTCTCCTACTCATCATAACTGATAATATTCATAAAATTGATAATATCATAATTGATAGGCATCAATTTGCAACATGATTAAGACTGCCCTTTTCTTTTTCTAAGTGTTTGGGGGACAAAGGGGAGAATTTGGAGAGTCTTGACATTTTAGGAGGTACTAAACTTTATTCTTTGAATGAGAGGCATCTAAAATAGTAAAAGTAATAATTTTTTTCTTAATTCAGCTGAAGGACCCTATCATGTTATTAGTTTCTCCAAGTAATGTTTCTGAAACTAATTCTCAGAATGAGTTGTTCTGTCAGGAAAAATCAGGCTTTTATCAACCAATATAAAATCCTTCAGACCTTGAAATTCTTGAATCCTTTGAACCATCACTTTCTTTCCCTCCGTAGGGAAAGAAAGTCTTCTTTAGAATTCTTTCTTTTAGTAGAAACTGCAATTTCAAGGTTGATTAGTGTTCGTCATTTTTATGCATTTAAAAAAGTCTTATAGACAGCGTTACTAAATTTCATCCTAGTATAATATCAGAACAACATGTACTTTATTAAGAAAAGTGAATCTTATCTTCTGACTTGGCAATATTTGATTTCCTGAAAGGCACAAAGAGAACCTGAAGAACCAGTGAACTCCTCCCTGAAAAAATTTGAAAGTAGCTGGTTTATTTACAGTGGGATAACTTCTGGTAGGACCAAAAAATGTTAACTTGCTATCTTCTCGTAATCAGAGATTTGAGATTTCATTTGAAAAATGCTGATGTCTAAAATAAAAGATAATTTATTAAATAATATCTGTGAATCTGTCCTCTGATCTGTTGCTTTGAAGGAGAGATTCCATCACACAGCTGGTCTAGTAGTTCAGGTAAACAATTATTTTCAGTCTTGAGCAGGAGTTATGAGTCTTGAATTTTCATATACATGGAATTTTAAGAATAGATTTTCTATGCATCTGTCTTTACTAATATATTTAACTTTTAAAATATGTTCTGAGTTGTCCTTCAGATATTCCTGAGAATTATTTTGACTAATTGGTTTATAAATACATGGTTAATAAAACACCAAGTGGAATGTCATGTATCCTGTTTTAACACTAGTCAGCAGTTAAGCACCACAGAGCCACTCAGTCATTTCCCCCAGCAGGATGAAGGGGAGAATTGAAAGAGTAAAAATGTGAAACTCTTGAGTCAAGATAAAGACGATCTATAGGTTTGATAGGTAAACCAAAAGCCATCCAGGCAAGCAAGGCAAAATAAAGAATTAATTTACTGCTTCCCATGGTCAGGCAGGTGTTCAGCCAGCTGTAGGAAATCAGGGCTGCACCACACGTGACAGTGACTGGGGAAGACAAACACCATCACTCCAAACATCCATGTGTTCCTCCTTCCCCCAGCTCTATTTGCTGAGCGTCACACCATGTGCTGTGGAATGTCCCTGGAGTCAGCTGGGGTCAGCTGTCGCACCTGTGTCCCCTCCCACCTCCTTGTGCACCCCCCGCCTCCTTGATGGGATGGTGTAAGGAGCAAAAAAGGCCATGCCACTGTGTTTCCTTCTGGCTCAGCTGTAAGGAAGACATTCCTGTGCTATCAACACTCTTCCCAGCACAAATCCAAAACACAGCCCTGCATTAGGTCCCTGAAGAAAATTACCTCATCCCAAACCAGCAGATCATGACAGATCACATTGTTGTTTGCATTCAGAATCCAGGATATTTAATTGTTCATGTTACCATGTTTGGTTGATGAGAAGCTCAACATGACTTGGTAATGTGTGCTTTCAACACAGCAAACCACCTGTTCCCTAAGCTGCATCATGAGAAGTGCAGCCCAAGAGGCTGAGGGAGGTGATTTTCTCCCACTAAGAAGTTGAATCTAATTCTAAATTAGTTGAACTATTAGGATCTCAAAAGTAACAGTGTGGTGCTGAATTCTGGTCAGCAGTGCTTTTGGGGAGAACAGGTACTTCTAAATACACCGTCCATACTTAGGTAACATACTACATGACTGGATACTTCAGAAAACGTTCCTCAAAAGGTTTTTGTACTACTTTCTTGCTGGCTGAGTATTTGCCCTTAGGAGGCATTGAAATACTTGTATCTGTGGACTGCATAAGGCCTAGGATTTCAGTTCTGCTGAAATCCAGTGGCATCTTGTCTTGGCCAGGCTATGGCAGAGTGGTTAAAACCTCTTGTAGCAACAAGGGCCATCTAAGTATCAACGGTGTAACTTATATTTACAGAGGTTTTCAAGTTAGAAAATAAGAAATTTAACTTCTAATTTCTGTGGTCTTCTGGAGATTTCCATGCACATTCCCTGGACTCATATGTGTATATCACAGTAGTTTGCAGACAGAAATTATCACTCTGTCTCTTTAACAGGAAAAAGAGTACTGATTTTTTTGTAAACTAGCATTCTGGATTTAGCTGAAACATGGGCATGTGATTGAGTTTTATTCATTTGTTCTTAGTTTGATCTTGACTTTTTTCAAATAATGCTGAATAAGTTCCTACTAGAGTTGAAAATTACAGGTCTAACACTGGTTATGCTCGAATGGTAATATACAAGGTGAATGACTGAATAATATCAGAACAGGAAAGCTTACTCTGGTATTCTTTTAATCAAATCGAAAATGCATGAGTATGTTCAGCTGATAAGCATTGTATTTTTTTAATTTATCTTTGTTAATTTCATTCATGTAATGTTTCTGTGAGATTTCTTAAAATTGATTAAAATTATGGTTTATTTTTTTCATTCCTACTGAGAATTTTTTTGTCCTGTATTTTTATGAAATCTTATTTTTAAATAAAAAAAGTTTTTTTCTCTTCACTGAATTTCATTTACATTGATTTAAAATTGTGTAAATTGTTTACTAATATTTTTCAGATGTTTGTAGATTTTTCTAATTATGTTATAGATTACTCTCACTGCTGTATATTTTTATTGTAACAAGTGAAAAAGCTACAATCCCAAATGACTCTTTTGAAAAAATGAACTGTGAAAAATT